GTGCCCCCCCCCCGGCGGGGTCCGCATCCCCGTGTCCCCCTCCCCGGTGCCTCCCCCACACCGGCCCCACAGGCGGCTCGGATCCTGCCCCGGGCCTCGCAGACCCCAGACCCGGCCCCGCAGCCTCCGCAGCCCCCGCGGGACTCTCGGCGAGGCCCGGTCCCCCCGGTTCCCCCCCCGGTACCTGCGGGCCGGGCCGGGCCGGGCCGGGGCCGCGTCTTTGGGCTCCGCTGGGCCGCGACCGCGCGCCCGCCCGGCCCCCGCCCGCGACAGCGCCTCCTGCCGGCCCGGAGGACTCCCGCTACCCGCCGGGGACCAACCGTCCCCCCCCTCCAAAATCCTCAGATCCCCCTCCCCAAATCCCACAGGAACTGCCTGGGTCCGCAGGAGACCCCTCCAGCCCGCCCCAGGAAACTCAAGGAGCCCCCAAGGAAAGTGGGGGACCCCATTTCCTCCCCCGCCCCCCAGAGTAAAGGATCCTATCTGCCCCCCCAAAACGAGACCACTTTGCCCTCTCCTTAAACATGATGATTAGCCGGAAAAATGATAAAGTAAAGGCAGAAGCAGCCCCCCCCAGCCCCCCCCGGGGGTCTCTACCTACGGGGTTATGTACAGCCACCCCGGGGGGGCTGGGGGCGCCTGGATTGCTGCCCCCTCCCCAAATTTCCCGGGGTTTTCCCAGGAGAACGGTGCCCGGTTGGGTCTGGGGGTGGGAATTAGGGGAGGGAGCCCCCCAGGTTTGTTTTGTGGGGGGGGGGCACGGGGTGCTCGGATTGTCTCCCCCTCCCCAGTTTTCCCCACTCCGAGGTGGTCCCGGGGTTTTCTGGGAGAACAGAGCCCGGTGGGAGCTGAGGGGGGGGAACAGGGGGGGTGCTGGGGACCCCCCCCAGCCTCGCTGGAGTCAGAAGGAGCCCTTGAGAGCCGCGCCTGGAGCCCCCTCCCCAATTTTCCCAGGATTTTCCTGGGACCACAGTGACGGCTCCCGCAGTGGGAATTGGGGGAGGGGGCTCACTGCAGCCCTTGACAGCGACAGTTTGGAGGGGCCCGGACGGAGCCCCCTGCCCGTTTTTCTGGGCTCTGCAGGCAGGGACTGGGGGGGTCGCGGCGCTGGCCCCCCCCCGGGGCTGGCTCCAGCCGGGTTCGGGGCGCCCGTGCCCGCCTCTCCCGGCGCTGTCCCGGCGGGCCGGGGGGCGGGGATGGCGGGCGGGGCGCGGGGCCGGAGCCCCCCCGGGCTCACTGGAGGCGGTCGGAGCGGAAGGAATCCTCCACGGCGGGGTCGGTGAGCAGCGCGCAGGGGTCGCTCAGCATGCTCAGCCCGTCCAGCGTCAGCGGCTCGATGCGCAGCTCCTCCTCCAGCCCCCCCAGCCCCCCCAGAGACCCCCCC